GTGAACGCAGAGGGGGGGGGGGGAAAAAAGAAACACAAAAAAAATAACCCCGGGTTTCGCCGGGGCTGCCCGCCGAGCCCGCGGCTCTCGTTTCTCCGGGCGGCTCCGACTCTACCTGCAGTCTACCGCATTGGGAAAAAAAAATAAGCTCGAGAGCCAAGGGATGCCGGCGTTCGCGGCCACGGAGCGCTCTGCCACCAGCCAAAACTCACAGGGCATCACCGGAAAGCGTGACTTTGCCCGGTTTCTTAATGTGCTGTTTCTCCTTCGTCTAATCTGGGTGGCCGATAACGTGCCTGAGTTCCCCGTTTGCTTCTAATTAATGCACTTTGCCCCCCGGCGTGTTTATTACGATACCGCGCGCTATGCTGGCTTAATCATTTACTGTTTCATCTGCTCTTATTGCCTCGCAAGGGAGTCCGTTTTGCCTCGTTTTAGAGCTAATTGGCCAAACCACCCAGCGAGGCAGCCAGGGCCCAAGGGAGGACGGTGAAGAACCCCATGATTTGGAAGAACTGGGCGCGTTTTAACCTAAAAAGGACAACCCCAAGGGCAGATGCGGCAACGAGCTCCAAAACTGGGGAGCTGCTCTCCATCTGCGCCCGATTCAGGTCCCCTCTGCTCTTGTACGCCTGTCGCTTTTCTGTGAAGGCCACAGAGGACCTCTTGGTGGCCAAATCCTGGGCCCTCAGCGTTTTCCAAAGGTCTCATTTGCTTTACCACGTCCTCCGTAAAGGTTTTATTAGACCACTGATAATGTTTCGGTCAGGGCACTATTTCCATTTGGAAATTAAAGTCTAAAGTCCCCTATGGGAAACAGCTCACAGCCATCACCCGTGCGATTCGCTTCGCCCTTCGGCCTCCACAAAGCGGGCGGTGAAGGCGAGTGGGAGGTCCGTGGACCTGCTGCGGGGCTAACGTCGGAAAAGCCGCGCGGGGGCACGTCTGGGAGCAGCGCAGCTCTTTGTAGGCCCCTCGAGCCGGTTTCGGCCTCCGCCTGCAGCATCCAGCAGCGGAGCGGAGCGCCGAGGCCAGGCCTTGGAGAGCTGAGGTGCTTCAGCCAAAAATCCTCCTCCTCAGCCCGTTTCCTACCCTGCGTGTTCTCCGTTTGCATCGCATCTCCCTGCCTTCCAATGCAACATAACCTCATGGCCCACATACGCTGCAGGTGAAACGGAGGTGATATTTGCCTGACTGGAGAGGGAGAGATGGACTTGAGGCTAATTATACCCTCCCTAGATGGAAAGATTACAAAGGAGGCATCCAAGAGACGTCAAGAGAAAAAGCAACTTGTGCAACCAGAAGTTTCCCTATCTCGTTCCTCTCCTTCCCCGGTCTGTTGGCCGGCTGTCCGTCCGCACTTCCCGGCTCCGCAGCAGCAAGCATCCGTTACCAGCGCTGCCTCGCTGGCCCGCGAGGGCTCAGGAGCAATTGTAACCATAGGAGCCCTTCCATCAGTTCCCCTCGGAGCTGCTTCCCTAGTGCATTAATGTCGGACCCAAACCCCGCTCCAAATGATTTTATCCCATTATTATCCTTTTTTTTTTTTTCTGTTTTTTAACCTTCTATCTCTGCCTCCATCAGCACCAGGGAGTATAATGGTAAAAGCAAACAATCACGTTATTTGTTACTAATACTGACCGGCCCGGCTCCGTCTGCAAAACCAGGAGAGCGACTTCTCCGCCTTTAAAGGTTACGTTGGGGTTTTAGCCCTAGGTTAAGAAATATCGTAAAGATTGGGACCGATGGGGCTCGACGGCGGGAGAGGAGCTGAAGAGCCGCCGGGTGCTGCAGGAGCTTGTACCGCACCTAGAGCGGGACCGAGCTCACCCGAAAACGAAGGGCTGCTGCTTCTGCACTTTATGGCGTGCGTTTGCGCGTGTGCGCTTTTAAGGCAACCAGAGCGGACCTCGATGACCGCCTGCCTTAGGAAACACGCGTTACCCTCCAAAAAACCCGGTTTTAACTCTGCTCCTCTGCCTCGCTGCTACGAGATCGAAGGGCTTTGCCGAGGTCCGGCCGCTGGGAGCAGCGCCGGCGCTGCGGCCCCCCTCGGCTCACGGCC